CTTCTGGTAGTCTTCACTGCGCGATTACTTACTGCATTACATTAGATTACATTACATAATATTATGAGGAGCGTTAGTGATGGCTTTTCATAATGTGCCATTCGGACAGACAGTGGTCAGACACTTAATTCCCGTATTTGAGACGTTAATTCGCAACGAAACATGCGTATAAACAATTGAGAAATGGCAAGGAATGGTGGAATGGCAACCAAAACAACAACACATGCAAGCAATAATCGTAGATTTAAACTTATGTATGTAGTTATGTATAAGCGTGTAACTCCCTTAATAGGGCGTATTAAAACAAACAAACAGTAAATACTCCAAGTGACAACAAAAACAAACATTGAGGAAATAAATCGCAAAGCGAGAAGAAGCAGCACAAGAATAGAATGGTTTAGTAACCAAATACCCAAAACCTTGCTAGAGCACGCATAGCAGGCGCAGTCGGCAGAATTATGTACATACTTATACATATATTTGTGTATAAAGAGGCGAGCATTCAATAATATTTATGTGGGGAAGCCGCCATGTGTGCTTGTGAAGGAAAAAGTGGGTTGGTCCAGTGTATGCACACACACGAGGACTATCCGATAAGTACTTAATCTGCAAAGGAGACACGAAAAATTGTGATTTAATCAAACATAGTCTTTCTTGAGACTAATATGTTTGATTTGGCGATGCTCCAATTTCTTTAATCCGTCTGAAAAATATGTTTTCCGGATAACTACAAAAACTGTGATGGCGTTTACATTCTTATTCGACTAAAATATTTGTCCGGCGAGTGACCTTTGCAAATGTGTGTAGAAATAGAAGTCGCAAATTCTGAAGATGCGATATATGAGACAATGGTTTGTAGCTTAGTTCAACCAATTTGCCCGAGGCGATGGTGTGAGATGTTGTATTGTCAAGGGGTAAAAGCACTTTTCCTTTACAAAATGCACTTTTTTGCAATTCGGCATCGAATCAACTCTATCCAGTCGGACGATGTAGATCCAACTTTGTGAACCTCAGAAAACGGTGGCCATTACCTTTACGGTCGCTTTCTACGGAGCATGTTCGCTGTGTGAATTCCACCCGTTTCGCTTGATTCTTGATCTCTGGATCTCTGGTATGTATCAGTGGATTTATGTACAGTCATCAAATAAGATTGTACTTGTTTTCCTTTTCAATATTTCATGCAGTATACTCTATGACCGACGCGGGTTTTGGATACATACTGCTCAGCTATATCGCGCCTTTTCAATCGGCGGTCTACCAATACAGTGAAGCTTTATCATATTATCCTCTGCGGTATCCGAAAGTGGCGTTCTCACTGGGCGGCTTCCCTACCAAAAACAACATTTTTCAAAAAATTCTCGAATTCACGAACAGAACAAAACTACGAATCTGATTCGACTTAGATTTTGGAAGCGAAATCCTTTTACGACAGTGTCGTCACCGAGCGTTGAAGTTAAGTACCTATCGGACCGTACTCGTATATATGGTACATACGAGTGTGTATCAACAATACTTTTCCAAGCATATTGGATACATTTCCTGCTTCAACCCAAACATTAACCGAATCAGTTGGGGCTAAACATTATGAGGAGGGGAGCGGGTTTTTGGCCAGTAACTGGGATGGGTGTTGGAACATTGCCTCTTAATTCACTAAACAACTGGAGGCAGTACATTCCGTTGGGTGCCGCAAACAGTGGTTTGTTTATTTGCTACCTTGCGATGAACAACTGAATTGTCGCAAATATCTAGAGCTGAAGAATCAAGCATTCACTTGTTTGGCAGATGTGCTTTAGCCTATACTTACACATATACATATATGTATGTATGTCGGCAAGTGCTTCGGCATGTGAGTTGGAATGTTGTTGGAGATTAATATCCGTTTCAGGAAATTAAGTTGCCACATCAGCTTTGCGCGCTCACTGCCACATAACAGTTAGTTACTTATTACATCTAATGCAATCGGCGAGGTTCACAACCGACCGCCACACTGACTGACTGACTGACTGAATGTCTGTTGACCATTATTGGCTATAATGTGAATTCATGGTTGGCTCATAAGTATTTTACCTATGGCAAGCAAATAAATACATATTTAGGTATATGTTTTTGTGTATGTAATTAGAATTACTCCAGTTATTAATATTTTAATTTATAAAGAAACTTAAAAATCGTAAAAAGATATTTTGCTACAAAGTTTTGAGAAAACAAGAAAAAACGTTAACTTCGGTTGCGCCGAAGCTATAATACCCTTCATAGAACTTGATTCCGATCGTTAAATTTGTATGACAGCTATATGATATAGTGATCGGATCTGAACAATTTCTTCGCAGAATACATTGCTGTCTTAGAAAATAACTCATGCCTAATTTCGTGACGATATTGCGTCAAATAAAAAAGTTTATGATACAAGTACTTGATTGCGATTGTTCAGTTTGTATGGCAGCTATATGCTATAGTGATCCGATATCGGCCGTTCCGACATATGATCAGCTTCTTAGTGAGAAAAGGACAGGGATAAAATTTCAGATCGATAGTTTCAAAGCTGAGGGACTAGACAGACGTACGGACATGGCTAAATCAACTCAGCTCATCATTTGTGTATATATTTTATAGGGTCTCCGACGTTTCCTTCTGTGTCTTACCAACTTCGTGGTAAACTTATATACCCTGTGTAGGGTATAATGATCATTAAGGCGCTTAAATCTTATTATGTTCAGAAATAGGAATAATAGAAGTGGTTGGATGCTTCCATCGTCTTAAAAATTGTGTTATGTATTCCATTTATAAGGCAAATAATCAGAATTGATCAAAAAAGTTACACAATAAGAGGACTCTGGCAGCAAAAACTGAGGAGATTTTAAGCACTTTAAATCCACATACGACATGAAAAGTGAGATGCCGGGTGTATGGGCAAAAATAAAACCATAATCGTTAGAGAGGGTGCAACGCTCAATCAAATTTTTAGGTGGTTTAAATTTTAGTAATGTAATTTTGGAAGGCTTACGCCTATTTGCGACATACATACCTATGTCAAGTAAAGTTAAGGTAACTACTTTTGCCCTAGACTTATTGAGGCTCTTGAAGTAGACATGATATGTAAGGTTTATTAATAAATAAAAAATAAATAGAACTTCCTAAGCTATCTTAAACCAAAGGAATATGTAAGGGTGAATGAAGGACACATCGATAAAGCTAGCGAATCAGTGCTTATTTTGAAACTCAATGACTCCGAAGGATCCAAGCTATTGTGCTATTATTTAAAGTATAGAATTTTAATGGAATTTTTACTAAAAAGAGATGTTCGTTGCAATAATAAAAATAATCATACCTTTCGAGACACGTTTTTTCATATAGAAATAGCAGAAGGGGAAGGAGTTTGAAAATATAGCTTAGGTTCGATGGCTGATCCACCAGATAAGGATCGTACTTGGACTACTATATATAGTACTTTGTGAAGCCATTAAAATGTAACTAATGTATCCGATATTATAAGTCGGCAATGCGCTTTGAGGCCAATAACTATTCCAACTAGCTCAGTGGGACATTTAATAGTGTGAGCTTCCAAGTGTTTCGTAAAGGCGTAACAATCAAAAAGAAAGTGTTGAGATGTTTTCCCCTCAACTCACCCTTCATACAGCTTCTGTAGCTGCCATCCGGTAATATTCTCAACCTTACAGCGTAAACGCTGATGCTAACCTTATTGAGGGCAGCGAAAGAACCCTACCATCGGTTCTTCTTCTGCTGCGTTGGCCAAGCTCCAGCAAGACGCAGCTATTCAGTATTAGAACGCACGACGAGAGCGAAGCCCTAACCCGTTTCCATTCTACTGATAGCGAGGATAGGGTGCTTTTTCTTACCATCTCGTCATCTTTGCAGTTACCTGCGATCCGCTTTCTTAATAGCAGCAATCTCGGATTGAAAAAGGCTAATGCAGTCAGGGAGTCTCAAACTGAAGTTAATAGAGAGTTCCATACAATATATCCCTACACCAACTTTTCCCCCAAGAAGTGATCCATCCGTAAAGAATCCCCCCACAGGTATTGGGCAGAGCAAATATCGCCAGAGTTTATTTTGGCGACTTCATGATCCGAAACATCCATTCAGACACATTTATATTTAAAAACCTAGATGCTCTGAGTCTGATAGCAGCTTTCTTAAAACATAATCCATTAAGTAGACAATATTGAATTTGGGGATGTGCTCTAAACAGATTTGTGAAAGGTTAAGGGTGTTTTGCTAGCTGATATCCAACTACAGCATTTCTTCGTCTGGCTTCACAAAGCACTGTACATAACAGACAGCCATCTAACCTAAATATGGATAATCTGGGATACAGGATGCAGAAACTTTCTTGTGTAAATTCGAAAATTAAAAACCAATTATGCGAAGTAAAATTACTTAGTTTTAAATTAAAAATACAAAGCATTATTTAGTCAATAAATTATAATAATAAACTAAAATTAAAATAAAATTGAGAGAGAGAAAAAACAAAATAAAATTAAAAAAAATGTAATACTAAATATTTTTATAATTAAAAAAAAAATGTTGAAATGTTTCCCTTTTTTGTCATTTCAAGGTTTTCGTTTCCGTACAAACTTTTTTTACTACTGGGTATACAAACACCATAAATGTAAAGAATCCGCTAAGGAAAGTGTGTCTGTGTGTGTGTGCTTTTATTCTCACTTTAATTCAATTCAAACGAGTTCTATGCAGACCAGAGATTCTGTCGTTAGTTATTTACGTAAGTATGTATGGTCAATGTTGTTATCTGTTCTTTATCCGCAATTGTTAGTCGTTCATCGCCTTTGCTGTCACAGCCGCATTGACACTTTGACGTCGGCGGCGCCTATAAGTGCGCTTAGTGAGCTATTGTATGGTTTCTAATGCGAAATTCGCTCGCCATTTGACCGCTTAGCCTTTTCTACTTATCTACTATGTGTTTACTTTCTTTTATTAACTCTTATTTTATTTTTATTATTTTTTTCATTATTTTGTTTTAGCACTATAACGAACAAATGCTACGGTACTCACATTATTAAATCTTTCCTGTAAGTGGGAAAGCGCTTCTTCTAGTTCGACAATCCGATTTTCCAGTACCTCCTGCGAAGAGAGCAGAAAAGAGAGAGAAAGAGAGTGCCAGAGATAGCAAAACAATAAACGATGAGTTTTAATGAAATTTTGTTACACAAATATTAATGTTTACTTTTTAGGTTATTTAATTTTATTAAAATTTATTTATTTTTATTGTGAACTTGACCGAATATGTCTATGTTTGCACCAATTTGTGTTGTTGTTGTTATTGTGAGTGACACCAAATTATACACAAAATGATAATTACCATTGTATATATGTATGTATGTGTATGGTCAATGTTGTGTAAAATTAACGGTTGAGTGCAAATGCCTCTATGGGCCATGGCCATGGTGAGGTTATGTACATACAGAAACGACAGATGAGAAAGCATGATGTGACATTTTTTCTGAGGTCATGAGGAAGCCGCTACAAAATACTGGTACGACTATATAGTATAGGAATTTTTTTATACATATTATTTTTTATGTATGTGAGGAAGATTCTAATGATACTTCTACCGTTTCTACAGAGTTATATTAAGTTTAACTTAATTTTTCGTTATAATATTTTGCTTATTCGACTTTGATTTTATCGGTGAGTTTAGCGACAAGATGTGAAGTTTTCGTCCAAACATATACGTAATATATAATAGTTTTTATTAATACATTCTCGTCCATTTTTTATTCTAGATTAGCAGGGGCTGCTCCACAAGCTGCGCAGGGAGCGGCCTCGGCCTTGATCACTAGAACGTCAGCTACGACGGTATATTAAACCACAAAATGCCCGACGACACATGCTAGTCGGCTACGCAGACGATAACGCTGCGATAATCACCGAGCAAGATTTTGAAGGCGCGCGCAGGAAGTTAAAACAAGTGACGATAAAAGCACAAATGTGACTTGACGCGCGAGGTCTTAAGCTTGCCACTGAAAAAACCGAACTGCTACTGCTAACAAAGAAGCATATTGCGGTTATAGTAGACATGAGGACAGCAACAAAGAATCTAAGAACACAAGATGTTGTCAGTTACCTGGATGTAAGATTATACTCCAGGCTTACCCAAATACAAATCCAACACGCTACGGCGTCTAAAATAGCATGCCAACCATGAAGGACCGAAACAGAAGAAATGGAAGTTTCAAATGTCGATCACGATAAATATCTTGCTCTACGGGGCAGAGTTGTGGGCAGACTCATTGAGGAAAAATAACCGACGTAAAGCCATAGAAAAATTGTATTGCATAGCTGCTCTAAGGGTAGTATCGGCATAGCGCATAGTTTAGACGAAGCTACATCGTTAATAAGCGGAAGCACGCCCATCGACTTATTAGTATTTGAAAGAAAGAAATGTGGACTTTGAAGAAATAAGGAACAAATGTCACCACCATAAAAGAGAAAATAAAGAATGATACCTTGTGACGAGGGCAAACTCGTTGGGAGCAGGAACGTCATGGTAGATGGAAAGATGGTTCTTATACTACACATATGCTATTCGGGCACGGATATTTTATGAAGGTTCTATATAAAATGGGAAAAGCCGAAGAGCTGTCATGTGTATACCACGACGCTGAACACAAGTTTTTAAATGTATACGCTGGCAAAAATAGCGATATAGGCTGCACGTCTTCGTCGGCGCCCTGAATGCGGACAACATTATAACTGTCATGCTCCAGAGTTTCCTAGAGGAGAGTTTTCAGTAATGTAATGTACAGTTTCGGGGAAGGCACAGAGGGCGGAAATAACTTAATAAACTATCCGTTTTAGAGTACCGTTCGGCATTACTTATGAGGTTAGGTTAGGTTAGTTTAAGAGAGAGAAGAATTTTACTTGGTCAACTTAGAACGCCGATCCGTTGTGGTACCTAAAACTCATAAAAGCTAGATCATAAGACCCTTACAGATCGATAAAGCGCTTTGAGCCTATCACAATTTTGTGGAGACGACTAATATCAGTTTCGGCTGTGTCTTCCAGTGCACCGAAGGTAAAATTATCGAGATATAAACGCTTAGGATAACGTGAGAAAGAAAAACTTTTCAAACCTCTGAATATATTTTCTTGTCAGTCGGAGATTATTGTGTAGGTGATCTAATTGTGGAGATCGTCGCTATACTTTTCAAATTTCTTGACACATTTGCTAAATAAGATATTAAGAATGTTGAGTTAGAAAAGATTCTCAGAAAGTCTATCGACTGCTGAAATTTATCTCTCAATATTTATATACCAGATTTTGTTCTTTTTTCACTCACAGAAAAAACTATACAATTTCCATTCAGATTTCTGAGCTAAGCTCTAGTCATATACGGCGCTGCTATGCTGCTATAAATGGTTAAAGGAAGTATTAAGATGTATTCGCGTGCACATCATAAATATTTATAAGTTCGTGTGTATTCAATATAAAATTTCTGCATTATCGACCACAAAGCGTACTGCACATGCGCACAAGTGGACGACCGGACAGCGTTCGCACGCCCAAGAACAACCGTCAAACCTTATGTGCTACGCACCGCTGCACCGCGTACGTGTGTTATGCGTCTGCAGGGCAATGAACTTGCGTGCAATCAAAGCATAAAGTGCGTCACAGTGAAGCAATAAAGTTGCGCTACCGGCCGACGGACGAGTCCATTCAAGTTGCGCTGGCATATGTTATATAGTAGTATGTATGTATTCGAGTGTGTAAGAATAAAAGTGCTAGTGGGCAGCGCTGTAACAATAAAAACAATAAGAAAAGAGCTGTAGAAGCTGGTAGCGGAGGCCTGCGCCTGTTCATTTGCCGCGTCGCGAACGTGACCACGCATTCGGGGCGTCCGGGAGCTTTGGATAATTTTCATTGTCGCGATTTTTGTGCGAATTTTAGTGTCGTAGTTATTTCTTTGATTTTATGAGAAAGTGTAGAAGCTACTACTGATCTTACTATTGCCGGCTGGCAAGACAACAACTACTTGTTAGTGGGTCTGATAAATGCGCGCCAGCAAGCTATTAGCGAAATTACAGGGATCAAAGAGTCAACAAAGCAAGGCAGCAAAGTCTGCAGGCAAATATTCAAAGCATCTCGCAAAGGTTCTCTGATATACAGGGTGCTGCATATTTTAGTTTCTCTGCAAAATTGCCGGTTCTGCGACATGGAGCCGGAAACCCCTGAACACCTGCTAGTGGACTACAGAATATTGGAGTTTCTCAATATGCTGGGGCTAGATGAGTCGATGTGACTCAGGGGAGGGCACAATAGACCATAGGTCGCGGTGCATACCTCTACCCTATCTAGTTTATTGTAGTTTTTTCGCAACAAAAAATTAATATGATTTTTATTGAAAGAATAAACATTTCTATAATTTTACAATATAATGTCACTTATATGGCAGATCCTGGCTGGCAGAGATAACTATAAATACAGCTTTCTAAGGCTCTTCGTGATATATTTTTGTTCTATATTACGAAGAACTCGTGTTTTTTCCGGGGCCTGAATTGTTTGCAGGTTCTTCACACGACTTCGGTCCCGGATGTTCTCATAAATCGTAGGCTAGGGAGTGATCAATCAATATCTACGAGTCGGACTGCAAAAAGTGGGTCTTAAAAGGTCGGTTGTGGTACTAACTCTATAATTTGACGTTCAATCTTTCGAAAGTCAAATATCATACAAATTTAAGTCGAAATTTCTTTTCACGAAAGGTCGTTAATTGATTTATTAGGAAAAAAGAGATTACTACCTTGAGCAGACTTTGGCCTCTCGACGTTCCGATAAACATATATACCAATAATGCTGGTTCTTAACATAAGTTCCGAGGTGAAAATCGTTTGGTCAAAATAGAAGTTGTTGTCAACTTGTGCTGTGTTTAGAACTCAAGCTGAAAAAGCAAGGTAAGGAAGCAGATCGTGTCCCGAGTTGGTTGGAACTAAATAATGCGTGGTCTTTGTGGGAAACTTGCATAGCGAAAACCGTGACAAGCCGAATTGTTGGACTTGAAAAAGTGTACTAAGTTCAAGACGCCGCAAAACCGTCAGGGACTTAAGGTATTTCCTAACTAAGTTATTTTCACGAACTTCTTGGACAAAGTTGTCAACTTCGAACGCGATTGATGCCATATCGAGGTTTTTTCGGCTATTAAAGAGGGACACTGAAAACAAGTTTGGAACTTGATGAACCTTGGAAGCATATTTGGACCTTTAAGGATCTTGGAAACAAGTTTCGTTTGCAGATATATCTCACTGACTTTTTTTTAAGAGTTTCATGCGGTAAAGCGCAGTCACAACCCTAATAACGCGGAATTTAGACAAAACACGTTATGTAGCACCCTATATAAACAATAGATAGGCACGCATGCATGCGACCACTTAAGCCACACAATTTGCGGCAGCTGCAACTAATGCTGCGCCGTAATTGTATAGTGCGAGTAGAAAGCAGCAATTGTCTAGGAACACACAGCTTCACTACTTGATATGAACAACAACAATATTACGCCAGCAATTGCAGCAAATCTGCGCTTGTGCGCATGCGCAAACACTCCACTGTACGACGTTGAGGCATTTAGAGTGCCACAAACGTATTCCTTTGTCTGGACTTGGCCTAATACGGAGTGATGTTGCAGCTAGTGAAACCGTGCAGCGCCACACGTATGCACACACTGACACATACATGCAAATAAACATACTAACTAACTAGTTGCCTAACTAAGGCTAAGTGTGGTTGCTGCGACCGTCAATGCGATTTCCGCAGCAGTCATTGTTGCTTTTGCATTTATTGTTGTTGCTGTTGTGTTGTTGTTTTTATTGTTGTTGCTACTGCATCAATAAGCATTAAATATACAAAGGCATATTGCGTGTCTACCACAATCAGCTCATTGTCAGTGGTCTTGTTAAGTCGTTACCTGCAAATGCAGTTGTTTGCTAGTGTGTTGTTGTTGTTGCGTATGCGCGTCAGTTGTTTGCTTTTGATTGCTAAATACGAGCAGTTAACGCGTTTCAGGTGAGCTCTGCTGTAATTGCACTGCACTGGCAACACACACAGAGACATCAATATATAATATATATAGATGTGTGTTTCTCTATGAGCTTAGTTGCTAATCGGCGTATTCTGTGTGAAAAGCCAATAAGTATGCATGAATGCAATGTGGTATCTTAGCTGCATATTCTGAAATCCATTTATT